AGAATATGCATTTGAGTTATGGTGTTGGAGGAGAATATTGAAAAGTACCATGGGCTGCCAAAAGAACCAACAGTTCTGTATTGGAAAAGTACAGCCAGAGTGTTCCTTGGAGGCCAGATGGCCAGACCTTGTCTCTCATATACTTCGGACATATTGTCAGGAGGGACCAGTCACTGGAGAAGGATATCATGTTTGGTAAGTTGGAGGGTCAGAGAAAAAGAAGAAGACCCCCAATGAGATGGATTGTCAAAGTGGCAGCATCAGTGGGCTCAAGCATGGCCACAATTGTGAGGTTGGCCCAGGTCTGGACAGTGTTTTGTTCTGTTGTGCATAGGGTTGCTATGAGTCAGTACTGATTTGATGACACCTAATAGCAACAACAACAATATATGTATGTTGTTGTGTGCTGTCAAGTTGGGTTGTAATCATTACAATCCTCTTTAGGGTTTCTAAGGAACAGCTGGTGGGTTTGAACCTTGCAGTTAACATACACGTGTATATGTGTATACATATATGGGAGCTCAGTGTCTCTGTTAGATAAACAGTGAACAGAGATGTACAAGGTTGGCAGTTCATGGCAGAAAGATTTACAACCTTGGAAACAGTCACTCTGTGTTGGGTGGGGAGCGTCCGACCCACAGGCCATATAAGGCCCCTGGAATCATTTGGTCTGGCCCTACCAAGGCAACTGCAGTTCCAGTCATTGCATGATAGCAGGCTAAATTTTAAGTTGGACTTCAGACATATTATCAGGAAGGACCAGTCCCTAGAGAAGGATATGTTTGGTAACATGGAGGGTTGGAGAAAAAGAGGAAGACCCCCCAATGAGATAGATTGACACAGTGACAGCAGCAATGGGCTCAAACGTAGCAAAGATTGTGAGGTTGGCACAGGACCAGGCACTCTTTAGTTCTGTTGTGCATAGGGTTATACGAGTTGGTACTGACTCAGTGGCATCTAACAACAGCAACAATTTTGTATGGCTTGTGAATGATGTTATAAATATCCAAATGGCCTTTGGCATAGAAAAGGTTCCCTACCCCTGCACAGGGTCTCTATGAGTAAACCAACATGACAATACTTCACTCTCTCGATAGATAGATAGATAGAGATGTAGATATGATTGCAATTAAATTAATGACTTTTTTTAAAAAGCAAAAGTATTTCTTTGATCACTTTTTGGGAATGCTTATTTGTTTATCTCTCTGTCTCATTGAGGGAAAGGGAAAGTGTACTTTCCTATTCTAAAGAAGGACAACAAGAATGGAAGGAAAGGCCATAATATTTATTTTTTCTTAGATAACTTAAAAATATTATTTATACTGTTTTATCTCTCAGCCATACACTAATGCATGTTCTTTATCTGTGAATCATGTTTGTTTCTTTTATAGTATTTCAGGTGCTTGAATATTCACTTTTTACCTGAAGCGTCTAGAACGTTTCTGCTTGCTGCGATATTACTTGTCTCCAATCACACTGCATGATATAAATAGTACACAGGCACATGTGCTTAAGCCTAAGCCTGAGAGTTATTGGATTCCTCTGAAAAGACAGATTTGAACTGCAGTGGGAGTTCTATCTAGGGAGATGCAGCCTCTAAAAAAGTTGATGGCCATCTTAAAACCTCAGAACCTGCCTTTGCATGAACAAAGTGAGGTCCTGAGAGCAGATGTGCCTTGGCAGAACAAGACCATCCCAGTAATGGAGATATATGACTCTGAGGCCTCTCGTCAAAAGTTCAGACAGTTCCAGTATCTGAAAGTGGCTGGGCCTCATGAATCCCTAAGCCAACTGTGGGAACTCTGCCTTCAGTGGTTGAGACCAGAGATTCATACAAAGAATCAGATCCTAGAGTTATTAGTACTGGAGCAGTTTCTCACAATCCTCCCTGAAGAGGTCAGGACTTGGGTGAAATTACAACATCCGAAGAACAGCAAAGAAGTGGTGACTCTCATGGAGGATGTGATTGAAATGCTTAACGACACAGGTAAGAATGTAGAAAATTAGGGTGGGGTGGGGTGTTAGAATTGTTGGCTCTTCTATATGAAAAGAGGCAATCTTTTTCTGAAGTTAGCAAGTGTCAAGGGCCAGATCTTGAAGGATTTTGTATTACCATAATAAAAATAATGGACTATATATTATAGGCAATACAAATAAAGAGCTCTTACAGGGGAAGAAATGACAGTATTTGTCTATATAAGTATGTTGGCATCAGTGTAGAGTGGGGGTCAACAAACTGTGACCCATGTAACAATTTTTTTTAAATAAAGTTTTATTGGAACATAACTGTACCCATACATTTATATTTTTTCTCTGGCTGCCTTCATGCTTTCATGAGCTGAGCTGAAATGTCATGGCCTATAAAGCCTAAGGTATTTACAATCTGGCCCTTTAAAGTAAAAGTTGATTGGCTTCTGGTTTTAAGGATGGATCTGAGGGTTCTGGAACGAGGAGAATCTGTTAGGAGGCAGTTTTAATAGATCAAATGATAGAGAAGGGAGGAACATTGGGAAAACAGGAGTTTGAATATTTATTAATTGATTAGATATATGAGATGTGAGTAGAATGAGAATTGATATAAATCTCATGTTCCTACTTGTATGAATGGAGAGTAAGTAGCAGAATTTGTGGAAGAGAATAATAATTATATGGCATTTCTTATTAATAACCATGTTAAAAGCACCCCTTGGATTATTTAAAGTTGCTTTAGGGCAAAATTTGTCCCCCTAATATTTCCCTCAGATCTTCCTTGTGAGGATTCTGTCTTCAAGAAGGAAAGCATTAAGATGGAGGAAATGGTGTCTGACTCACTAACAGTCACATCCCAGGTGAATTAGAATTCTACTCTTTTTTTGAAAATGTGTGTCCTTCTTTAATGTGACCTGCTTTTACTTTTTGGTCCTTGAACTTTTTCCAAACATAGTTTAATCCTAGGATATCAGAATGTATTCTTCCACAGGACATTTGAACACAAGATGATGCTAGAGAATTACAGATTCATAATACACTGTTTGAAAAATATTTTCTCTTAACTTTATATAAGGTGGCTTCAAAAATGTCATGTAAGAATTCCATGATCTTTTAATTCCATTTTTCCACAAAATATTTGATGCCCCCTCCTATATTCCCTGTGCATCTGATCCCTTAACAATGTAAAATGTCATTGACATTATAGAAATAGAGCCAGTGAATGTTTAGAGTTAGCAGTGAAGGAGATCAAAGGCAAACTCGTGAGCAATGTCATTTAATGGACAAGAGTAGAAGAAACTTAAAAGGATACTAAAAAAAGAAACAAAGAGGTAGAGAAAAACCAGAAAAATACATTGTTATTGAGACCAAAGAATAGAAAGATTTCAAGAAATGTTTTAAAGGGTCAGAAAAATACAGCTTGGATATACCTGTTTATTCATAATCATGGAGATGTTAATAAGCATGCCATGAAGATAGAAACCAGATTGCAATGGGTTTAGGAGACAAAAGATGAGGAAGTAGACAAAACTAATGTAGACAACTTACTCACGAAGACTGACTACAAAAAAGAAAAAGGGAGGAGATTTATAAATTACACTGTACGGGAAGTAGCCTATAAAGACAAGGTTGTCAATGCTGGAGAAACAAGTGGAATCACTGATGATCTGAGGTCCTTATGGAACAGTAAGGAATTTTTAGATTAATAAGCATTTATTCAGTGCCTAATTAGAGCACTTTTGGAAGAAGTGCAGCCAGAGTTCTCCTTGGAGGCCAGGATGGCTAAGCTTCGTCTCTCCTACTTTGGACATATTGTCCGGAGGAAACAATCGTTGGAGAAGGATGTCATGCTGGGTAGG